AAACTCTTGGCCGTAGTCTCAGTTGGCTATGGTTGAGTTGCAGGAAACAGAATACCTCTTCCAAACTAGCTGATGTTAAAAAGATAAAACAACAAAATAAAAGAATTATTGGAAGAAAAACAACCCAAAGACAAAGATGTACCTGAGCGTCATGAAGATCTAGAAACTGTAACTTCAAAGCTTTCTAGACTGGATCTCTGTTTCTTTTTCCTTGCTTTCTTTGTTTTCCCCCACACACCCCCCCCCCCCCCCGCCCCCGCTCATGGTAACATGGCTTCCCTAGTCCCTCGCAGTTTGCCTATCCACCAAATTCCCCGAATTCCAATTCATACACAGGAAAGAGAATCTGATTGATTCAGCATAGGTCAGTTGTTTTATTCCTAGCCCAATCACCTAGTCATTGGCTACTAATTCAGCAGGAACCTTTAAGAAGGGGGTGTATCTACAGGGAAGGAATAATTGGCGCTCTTGTCAGGTGGGAGACGCCACCTTGAATCCAAGGAGGCCAGCTGGGTTGGAGCAGGACATAGCCTGCTGCTAGCAATGCAAACATGGTATTCAATGCATCCAAGGAGAGGAAGCTGGAGAGAGCTTGATAGGTGTCTGGGCCTCAGGCAACTAAAGCCATCCAAGAATCTTGAGTGCAGGAAAGGACCCAGGAGTGCAACCCAGGCATGTAGAGCCGGGGTGGGGAGGAATAGACACAGCCTGGTTCTCTCTGCCCTCTGATGGTGGCTTTTGCATATTCATTCAATAATCAGAGGTCCATAGAATTCCAAGGAAGAAGAGAGATGGCCCTAGCCCTTGAGAACTTTGCTCTCTATGTGGAAGGGCAAAGCTTAGAAAGCAGAAAATACAGTTAGAGGAGCATCAAGTTGCTTGATTCTGATAGAGATTCTTAGGCTATAGAATACAGAGGAAAGAAGGTGTCCACACACTCACTTGAGTGAGCCTCTGTGAGTTTGCATGGACCCCATGCATTATCTGTTACATCTTTGCAAACCCATATGGAAGAGAAGCTATTCCTGCCCCTTTAGGAAGGCAGGGGAAGTTTAAGTAACTGATGCAAGGTCTCAGAGTAAGTAAGCGGGATAACCGGCACTTGAACCCAGTACTAGCTCGTGCCACAGCTAAGGCTCTTAACTGCACAGCTTCTTGATAGAAACAGATGGATCTTTGCAGTAAGAGGAACAGTTTACAGACAGGATTGATTCACTGACCAGCTTGGAAAATCACTAAAGATCATTAAATAGATTAACGCTTATGCAACTCACCTTAGAGCAGGGTACGCGCTTAGAGTTGCCCACATTGTTGATTTTCTCTGTCCATGGTATCTTATTAAAAGTGGCAAGTGTCCTCCTGACAGTCACATGGGCATTGTGTCACATCCCACTTTCAGCTGTCTTGGAGGAACAGTGATTATCTCTTTAAATGCCCTGCCCTGTCCAAGGCCTCCCCTGGTGAATTCTGCACATGCAATCCAGCCAGCGTTTTAAATCAGACTATCCTCATATTCACACTCCAAATTTGAAAAATTCTATCCCACCATTTTGCACGCTACGGTGACAGACAGATATTTAATTTTATTTATTTACTGATTGAATATGAGCGGTCACGGAGAAAGGAAATTTAAAATTAACTGAAGTCGTTTCACGCTTCAGAGACAAGGGCAAGTGTGTAAATGAAAAGTAACCGCAATAACGATGATAATTTGGAAGAAACACTTTGAAAGTTGAGCAGACTGGCTAGTTTGAAGAGAAAGATGGTGAGCTCGCCTTTCGGAGCTTTTAATTGGAGTTGACAGTGGAACACCCACGTAGAAACGTCCTGTAGCCAGCTGGAGCTGACTGGAGCTCAGGAGAAAGGGAGAGGATAGAAATTGAAGTCGAAATTCATCAGCCTAGAGCGATGAGAGTTGATGTTTTGAGCTGTGACAAGTCCTCTTTGGAAAACAGAGCAAGTAGCAGGAACCAAGCTGGACTTGGGGTCCATATTCAATACATACTTTCCGATGTCCATGTAGGAGAGACCAGCAAGTAGGTCCTGATCCAAACCCACTGCACGTGACTATGAGAAAGATCTGTGAAGCCTTGGAATAATTTTATAGGAAGCGTGGGGAACAAAGTCGGATTTCAGGGCACTATGGGGGGAATAATTATGTCAGAATTGGAGGTAGTGGGTGAGCTGAAGTCCCTCTCATGAAATTTCTCTGAACACATCCTACTTTAGATGATGGCTTTAGTTAGTTGTATATTAACCATGATTCTGAATTCCTATGGAATTAACCAAGATTCTGAATTTTCTGACGGCAAGACCTGTACCTTATCATTTTTGCCCTTTTAACACCTAATACCATGAATTGCAAATATCAATGCTCAATAAAAGTTCTAAAATTCACTTCTCTGCTCAAGATGGGCTCTAGATTGCCATTGGCAGTGTTTTCCAAATTTTGATGTTCCTTGCGTTGGAGTGGGAGATGAAGTACATGGGCAAATTACATTTATTTTAAAAATAAGTCATTTAAGGGATTGATGTACCAAAGCCAGACTGGTGATAGCATGGAGTCAGTAGACTCCAGAGAGGCATTTATTTTTTTACAGAGACAATAAATCTCCATTTATGACTTTGGTATGAAGTTTTAAAATTTTTAAATAACTGTGTTTAAGTAAAAAAAAAAATAAGGTAAGTTAATAAAAAACATTATAAAATAAGTAAATTTTAGCAGATGATTTAGAACAACGTGGTAAAGGTCTTAACGTAAGTGAGATGACTGACGTTTGGGTGGATGGCCTTATGCAGTTCATCATAATCTGATCCCATGTCTTGATCCCATCTCCTCTTTTGTAACTCCAGGCATTCTACTCTCCCTCTACAGGAATAATAGCCGTCAAAGCAGGGGCTTCAGTGCTAGTTATATTTTTAATAATATGCATTAAGATAAACACAAAACTCGAAAGGTAAAAACATAGCCCACCTAAAATGATCTCCCACCCCATTTTGGGAGACATTGCCATTTGGAAGTTTATCTGGTCTCCCCACTTGCCTGGGGGAATCCTTAACATCGGGCACCACAGATCGTTCACAGTAGCATCTCTGGCAGTAGAAGAGCCTGGCGAAGAGTGGGCATCATTAAGTGTTTGCTCGGAAAATAAAAGGACAACAAGATGCCAACCATAATGTTTAATAGCTGAAGAACTGGTGTGCCAACGCCACACTCAGTACAGTTCGAAGATGACAGATGTCAGGGTTGCCCCGAATACAGTGAGTGGTAGAAACAGACCACAGAACGTGGCATTACCCACCGTGGAGCTCTCTCCCTGATGTGGGGATTCTGACTAATGAGTCTGGGGGGGGCAAGTTGAGTTCTTCCAAGCAGAAAGCAAGCAACTGAAATCTCTCCCTCACTTTCTTCTCTTTCTGTGGCCGATGCCATCTGCTAGTTTTAAAAATAATTTTTAAAAGCAAGTGTTTTGGTTCTCTTCAATGTGCAGCAAAGACAGATGCTATTTTTAGGCTTGTTTTCTATCAGAAAACCCCCAAAGAACCAGGGGCAGGGTGTGGGCAGTTCTGGCTGACTGTCTCCGCTCTGCCACTAACTTGTAAGCGACCTTTTTGCAAACCTCATATGCCTTGGAGTGGAGGGTTCTGCCTCTCATTAGAGATGTTGAGAGGGTGAAGTAGAGTCGGGCTGAGAAAGTCCTTCAACATTTCAAAAATGATTGATTAACCTGTACCCGTCCCTTGTGGTCTGCCAGCTTTTTTTGACGTCCCTTCTCTTCTCCCCTGGACTGGAAGCTCCCAGAAGGGAGGACACACCCACACATCCATACAATGTCTGGGTCAGAACCTTACACGGGAAGCTGCATAATACGAGGTTACAAGTGTAGACTCTGAAACCAACCTGCCCGGGGTTCAAATCCTGCCATGGGGAAAAGGTAATGTTTGTCATGCTGGGTTGTTCAGAGATAAATGAGACACAATATGTAAAGCGCTCAGCTTAGTCACATCGTGCTTGCAAGGTGGTAGCTTCGTTTCGTTGTTTTTATTCTAATTATTATACACTCAATACACATTTGATAAATGCACACATGACTGTTATATGTAAGATAAAGTTCTGTGCACTGTAAGGAACACTTTTTTTAGTGGTGGATTAAACCTTTGTTGTATGGCCGCCATCATTGTTAGAACACTTTACATATGTCATCTTGGTACTTAACTCTATGGGCAGGTGGGTCGTGTCCACTTTACAGATGGAGAGAAAGCTGGAGATCTGAGAGGTTAAGTAACAGCTGTTGCACAGCTAGTAAGTAGTGGAAAGAGACTTCAAATCCTATATTGATTTCATAGGGACCCTTTGCCCTACACATCACTTCTCTGCTACCCTCCTCCTGGTCTTACAGCCCCGTACAATAGCTTGGTGACTTTTGACAGCAAACCCCCTTTTACACAGTGACCCAGCCACCTTAATATATAAGTAAAACAGAAACACATATTTCACAGTGCGACCAGTCCCGGAAGCCACACACTGTCATTTTTACAATATCCTGTTGGTTACACAAGGCAGTCCAATTCTCAGAGGGAAGGGACTACACCAGGATGTGAACACCGGGCAGTGGAAATCACAGGGGACATGGTGGAGGCTGGCTCCCACAGCTTACCTATTACCTATATATGATTCACTTAATAGTCTCCACTGTTTATTAAAATAAGATTTACTAAACAATGATAGCCACTAAGTCACAAGATTAACGTGCTAATTATATCTTCCAGTACCGACAAGTATAAAGTTAGCATTATTAATTTAAAAAAACAATTCACATACTGCCTGTGGTCACTTGCATACTTCCAGTGGCACAAATACTCCGCTTGGGGAAACAGTGCACCCAACCTGTCATAGAGTCCTGGTGGTTTTGATCATAAATCCCAGCTATTACCTGTTCTCCATTTGGACCCCAAGAAACTGTAAGAGGCTGACTTTGCTCTTTGCTGTCTTCTCCCAGGACCGCCTGTACTTTGTGATGGAGTATGTGAATGGTGGCGACCTCATGTACCACATCCAACAAGTGGGCCGGTTCAAGGAACCTCACGCTGTGTAAGTGAGAACTGGTGCTGTGCTTTTCCCTTGGGATAAATGGGTGGGTTGTTAGTTCTTTTGGGTTCCTAGTCAAATAGGGATTTTAAACATCTTGAGCTTTTTCTTTAAACATCTTGGGCTTCTGAGAAATACATGGCCGGGGCAAAGGGTGTTCTGCTGAGATGGGATACTTCTTTCTCTCTTGACACCAGCTAAGAACAAGAAGCTTGAAAGCCACAGCTATTTCTTTATCTCTAAGTTTCTTGGGGCCGCGCTGCGTGGCATGTGGGATCTTAGTTCCCTGACGAGGGATCGAACCCACGCCCCTTGAATTGGAAGCGCGGAGTCTTAACCACTGGACTTCCAGGGAAGTCCCTATCTCTACGTTTTGCCCCTGGCTCATGAAGAAAGCCCTATAGCTTCCTCGGGGAATGTCATTGTAGGTTTTGTGTATTCCTTTGCTGATGTTTATTGAGAGCTTACTATGTGCCAGGCCCAGAGAGTTTTTAGAGACTTGATCAAGGTCACAGAGCTAGTGTGAGGCAGATCCAGAATTCTGACCCAGATCTTCTTTGCTCACGTTCTCTGTCCGACACCACTCTCCCTCTGAGATGCCCTCGTTCCGGGGAGATGAAGGCGCAAGCTGCGTAGAGACTACGCTCTGTGGCTCTTGGGGTGGAGAGACTGACTCTGCGTCTTTGGAAATCTGTTTCCCCTGCTGAGCTCATGCTGTCCCCTTCAGTCCACAAGGCAGCTGGTCTCTTCTCTTTAGAACACAAATGTCATCCTGTTTCTCCCGGCTGTTGGAGAACAGGAGCACGGCAAGTCATAGGATCAGCAGAGCTAACCTCTCCTAGGGAGTTTGCCGGGCTCTTATCGTCCCGCTAGAAAGCTCTGGAGGCTCATCTAGGGCGCCATCCCATCATCGCAGAGGCCTGCTAACTCCTGTTCAGCTCAGCCTTGCCCCGCTCCTCCCACCTGCCCAGGTCATGAGCACTAATTCTGATAGGGTTTGCATTCTCATGCTTCCAGGTCGTGCCATTTGTGTATCTTGGCACAGTCCTAATGGGTTGGCTCTTCTTGTAGTTCTGACATCTAACTGACCACTGACCTTCGCTCCATTATCACACAAGACACATTGTCAGGACATTTTACAGAGCTCCCCAAAGGCCTGCCTAACCTTTGTAACGGGGCTTTCTGGTTCTCTCAAAAATCTGTTTCCTTCCGGGCCTTCATGAAGAGCTTACGCTCTAGCCAGGTGCTGTTTCCAATACTGGCTGAGCCATTCATTAGCTGTATAACCTGGTCAAGTTATTTCATGTCACTAAGCCTCAGTTTCCTCATTTGAGGAACAGGGAAGTGGTAGTGTCACCTACCTTATAGGATTGTTATTTAGATTTAATCAGATGATAACCTGAAATGATGCAAGGTTGATGGTACGCCTTCAGCAGATGTTAGCCGTTATCATGCTGGAGTCTGAAATGATCATTCTCCAGCCAGTTCATCACATCCCGTGGCCTCCTCCCCACCAAGCAGGTGCTGAACCTCTGCCCACCGCATTTTGTCCTTAGCCTCAAGCTCTGTAAACCCTGTTGATCCGTCCAAACTCTCATACTTCGTTTTATGAGACGTATGTTTGACCATCCATGGTGGAACATTAATGCCCTATGCCCAGTTCAATATTGTATTGAGTTCTGAGAGTTGCCAAGCATATGGTGTCCTTGAATTTCTCCATTGCTTTTTTTTTTTTTAATTTCAGATTTTATGCTGCGGAAATCGCCATTGGTCTGTTCTTCTTACAGAGCAAGGGCATCATTTACCGGTAAGTGAACCCCGCTGTACTTCCCGTCTCCTTGGTTCCTAAGCTCCTCCCTTCCCTGCCTCTTTCTTCAACTGCTTTTAAAATTAGAATCCACGGTGGGGGAGGAATCCTCCAGTGCTAACTTGGGCATGTGCTCTGCCAGGCAGCATTGCCCACTGCCCTGGCAAAGTTTGGGCAGCTCTATACGATGACAGATCTTCCTCCAGTGATGGTTCAGAGCCTCGAATGTGAGACCATTTGCTCAGAGGAGGGGGCTCACCCCTGGGGACCCAGTCCTTCTTTCTGTCACCCGTGAATCCCACATTTGGGGAGCAAGCAAAGAATCGTGGCTGGCAGAATGTGCTGGATCATATTATTAGGAAACAAATTTCTTTCTTTCCTTTTTTCTTCTTTTTTTTTTTGCTATGTAACTATAATTTGGAAATGGATCTCTGAGTAGCTTGCCCTGAAAGACAGGATTAAGCTCAGGACTTGGCATTTGCCCGTTTTTGCAGGAGCAAGTGTATGATCATAGCCGGATGAGTCAGCCCATTTTATATCTCATGCAAGCAAACTACGGAGCCTGGGGCTGCTATATGTCAGTGAGTCCAGGATGTACAGTTCTCCTTACACTACACGGATGCAAATGGCATTACAGTGCAGGCTTGCGTTGGCTTGTTATGCAAGGGAGGCTGGCGCGTGGCACAGGGCTTCCAAAGAGGACTTGGCATGGGCGAGGGTCTATTTAAAAGATCCTAAAGAGTCATCAGAGTCCGTTTCATTCATTCATTCATTTGACAGACATTTATTGAAAGCCTGCCATGCGCTGGCCTCTCGTCTAGATGGTGGGGATACAGCGTGAAGAAAACAGACAAAGCCCCACCTTTGTAGAACTCATATTCCAGTGGTGGAAGACAGATACGTAAATCACACAAATACAGTCTGTCGAGTAGTGAGAAGTACTGTGGAGGAAAGTCAAGCAGGGGAGGGGTCTGGTGTGGGCTGGGTGGTGGTGGGTTGCCTGTCATTCTGTACAGAGCATGAGATTAGGGTCTGAAGAGTTAGGGAGGACCCTCGGAGGCCTGGTCTTACTAAAGCAATTGAAGGATATGGGACTAAAAGGCATAAAGAGATCAGCCTTGGTGATCTCAAGGCAGAAACTGGAAGGGAGGCTATGGGCCCTGGTGGGATGGAGGGATGGAAGGTGAGGGCCTTGCCAGAAGCCTGCGGAGTCCTGGGGCTTTTTTTCACTCCATGAAGTAGCACATCCGGAATGCATAGAGTCCCCCCTCTGCCTGTGTGCTCCTGAATGGAGGAATGAAGGTCAGGAAGCCAAGTGGCTTTACGTGGCACAGTGTGATCTCAGTGAAGAAATAGAAACAGAGAGAGTAACCATAATAATGTAAACTGTAAATTGTGTGGTCATTCAGCCCACGCTTGTCCTCAATGAATATGTGTCACCACGTATGCGTGAGACGGGACCTTGAAGCCTCTAATTCCCCGTTTCTCCTTTGACTGTCATGGCGGGAGCATCTTGTGCTGAATGTAATTCTGGTGTTGAAAGGTACACATTATCTTCCATACGACATGACCCCTAAATTCAAGCCCGTGACTTCCGCTGGTGCTTACCCAAAAAACCGGGGATCATGGGTAATTGTTCACTCTACATGGCTTTCACCTTATGTGCTGACATTTGAACCTAACTCCTATACGAGATGGACCTCCACCAGAATAGAATCAAGGCACTCAAGCGTTGCTGAGAAGATTAAACAGAGGACTGTAAGTTTATTGGAAGAAACTCCAGTCCCAGTGGAGGAAACAGGAGACGAAATGATTAGAGTCCTTGCCAACAGGGTTGGGATTGAAGGCAAGGTTTCCAGTCTAGCAGGGAGCTGGATTGGGAGCTGGGGTCCATTTGGTCCAACTCATAAAATGCAAAGATTAGCATTCTAGGTGCTAGACCGTGCCTAAATGCAAAGCTTTTTCTGCTAATGACACATTCTCTCTTTCTTCCTCCATTATTTATACATTTAGGGCATATTGATCACTTTTTTAAGCCACTCAACATCTGAACCCCTTTCATTTGTGAGTAGGAATGGAGTCCATATCCTCCTCTAAAGATTTAACGTGCCAGATACTTTCACAGCCTCCCTGTAGGAAGAGCAGACGCACAACTCAGGCTCTGATGCCCATCACACTCACTGAAGACCTTGAATCAGAAGTTAGTGACCAAGAAAACAGAGGCTTTAGAATCGAGAGGGGCCATAGTCCATCAGCTACGTCTGGTTTCCAGAGGCGCGAGGGGAAGCGGTTCTTAGCAGCAGCATCCAGAGCCCAGTGCTAGGGCTTCATGGAATAAGGGATGATGTCTGTGCCCAGTGGTGACATCAGTGGCATCTTCGCTGGGGCATCTCTGTGCTGCAATTAGGCATTGTTCCTGGCTGTGCAAACCTCCAAATCTGATTCTTCCGCCTTTTTGGAGATTCTCTGAGCTCTCCAATTCCCTTTTAAAAAATTCCTTTTTTGGCTGAAATAGTCAGAGTTGGTTTTTGTGGCTCACCATCAGGAACTTCAGTGGAGACAGTATTTGCAATTGATAATCAAGTGAAAACTGTAAAAAAAATTCACATGACAGAAGATGTATGGTTTTCTAACTTCATAGAGATTGGTTTCATGCTGGTAAAGTCTTTAAATGTTATAAATGCCCCTCTTCTTCATTTGGATCTCTAGTTATTGGGACAGTTCTTAAGTAAAGAGGATGAGGAATCATGCTAGACTTGCGCTCTCTGAGGACCATGGCTGGAGATGTTGGTTGCGGGGAGGACAAACGACCCTTCCAAACTTAGTGTCTGATTTGTAGATTACCGTCTCTGGAATGTGTGTTGATTTTGCCCTTGATGGATTTGTGAACATGAAACATCTGACCAGCCCCCTTTAGAAAGCAGGAATGAAGATTTATTACATTAAACAAAAGAATGGAGTGGGCTATCAAAACACTATTATGTGACAGTGAATATGACCAGGGCGTGCGCCAGCCCCATGACCTGCTGGCTCTTAGCACCTCAAGCTCCTTTTCTATAATAGATGAAGATGTCCTCACTTCCAGAGTTGCCCCAGCTGCCTCTTTGGGGGCATGTGGTCAAGCTGAGGGGAATGTCATGGATCTCCGTCAATCAAATCACATGCAGACCTGGTATGTTTAGGTGAAACAAGTGTCTGCAAAGTCAGCTTTTCTAAGTTCCAAGCTGGCCTTCAGAGACCTCTGTGGCATGTAGAGAAACATGAAGGCTGGATATGGGTAGCACCATGGACAGCACCAGAGATCGTGGAATATTGCTGTTGGTAAACACTGGGGTGCAAGTGAGCTTCCCCTTGGATGAAGACACCTCACAGACATAGACAGTAGATGCCAGGATATATTTTCAGGTTGTATTTGTTTAGTTGAAGATGATGACAGCAACTACATTCAAACTAACTTACATTAAAGGAGGCATTTTCTGCTGACACAACTGAAAAGTCCAGGAGGCAGATCTCACTTCAGGCCTGGATGGATCCAGTGGCTCAAATGATGTTATGAGCATTTATTCTCATTCTCTAGGTTCTGCATTATCTATACTAGCTTTCTTCTCTCCATCTGTGACCCCTGGCACTTCTAGACTTACTTTCTACCACCTGAGCCATCCCAATGTAAAAAGAGCTCATCTCTTTCCTGATGGTATCCGCGAAAATGCCAGGGCTGATGTTGACGTTCAGAGGCTTTGAGTAGCTCATAGTGGGTCACATGGCCATTCCTGAACCAGTCACTGTGACCAGCAGGATTTCCACTGGCCAGGACAGGACCACATGACCACTCCTGGAACCAGAAGTTAAGAGCCGCATCACCAACCATGAGAATCAGGGAAGGTGGTTCTTGAGAATCAGGCAAGATGGTTCTTCAGAGGAATATTAGGATGCTTGAGAATGGCTTGAGAATCATGGAAGGTGGTTCTTCAAAGGAATAATAGGTTGCTCTCACCCCAGGATGCTAGAATAGGCAGAAGCCACAGATGTCCACCACCCAGTGAAGATGATTTAAAGGAGAGATCTGAACTGAACAGTAGATCCCTTTACCTCTGAGGAAGTTGGATTTCTCATGGGATTGAGGAAGTCTGGCCCATAGATCGTCCCTACTCACTGATGCTGAAACACCAAGTGATGACATTGGAGTCAATGTTTAGGGAGGAGGAAAGTGTGATGATATTGGAGTCTTCAGATACACTGGGAGTGTGCAAGGGTCCCCAAACATCAAACTCTCCTCATCAACATGGATGAAATAAAAGAATGGGAGTGTAGCCCGTGTCATTTAGGACATCGCTCCATGGAGGTGACACCTTCCTGACACTCTGTTACAGTAACCTCCTTCAGTTCCTGTCCATCTCATCATTCTTTTTATTTCCTTCGTACCATCCATCAGAAGCTATAATAAGCATGCTTATAGATTTGAATACTTGGTGATTGTCTTTTCCCCTCTACTAGAATTTAATCCTAACAAGAGCAGGATGCTTGTTTATCTTGTTCATAGTATATACCTCACTCAAAGCATAGTGCCTGTCACATAGTAGGTGTGCAACACATATTTTTTGGTTGAAAGAATCAGTAGAAACTCCTGAGTTCATGGCCTAGGAACTGGCTTAGGAGACCTTGGGGCACTTGGTGTTAACTAAGATGCTCTCAATCCATTTTTTTCTCCATGATTTTCAGAGATTTTTTAAAAATAAAAATGTGTGTAAAACGTACCTTCCTACGAAATGTAAGCGGTCCTGAAGTTGCAGAGGTCAACTCTGGAGATGCTCCTGGATACAGGAAGCTTCTGTGGAAGCTTCTGTGGATGCTCTGTCCTTTATACAGCTGTCTGTGGATCACTCTTCTCAGAGCTGCTGTCTCACTGTGTCCTTCTGAGACGCTTGGCACAGTTGGCTCTGTAGGAAAAGCAAAGCACAGGGGTTTGTGCACCCTTGTATCTCCCTGCCAGATTATAAGCTGTTGGAGGGCAAGGGCTGCGTTGTACCCATGGCTGTGCCCCCAACACCCCTGCTGTAGTGTCTGGCGCATAATGAGTGGCTGTTGGTTGACTTGAAATAAATAGCATTTAATTAAATCTCTAAATCTTCTGTCTGCACAGAGACCTGAAACTTGACAATGTGATGCTGGATTCCGAGGGTCACATCAAGATCGCTGATTTCGGCATGTGTAAGGAAAACATCTGGGACGGAGTGACAACCAAGACCTTCTGTGGCACTCCAGACTACATCGCCCCTGAGGTGAGCTGATGCCAACCCCTAAGGCATGTCTGTGTTGTGTTGATGTACTGATGTCTCCCCGGGGCCCTAGGTGGCCACATAGGAGCTGGGAAAGGTTCAGGGGGTACCTGACAAGCAAACCTCAGGCTGATCCTTCTCCTGTCCTCTAAATTATTCCTTTGCGATCACACATGAAAATTAGCTTAGCACACATCCAGAAGCTCAGGCCCAAAATACATCAAGCTTTGGGAGAAAATTTAAATAAAACTCAAAAGAACCATCCACCACACATCAGTAAAATTCTTCCTCAAGCTGCTATGGCTCATGGCCATAGGATACCTCCTAATTTTGACACTGAAACATTTGTTCAGGGGAGGGAGGGAGGGAGGGGGAGGGGAAAGGGATAGATCGATGCTCTGGACTGACTTATGACACAGGAGCTGTGTACTAATAGGTATGCAGTAGTTGTGCTAAATCCTAAAAGCCTCAGAATTTTTCTTCCCATGATTAAGATATAAATGAAAGTGTGAAGATTTATTTTAGTGCCTCCCCGTTCCTTCCCAAAGGAAACGGTCAGTTGCAGAATGGATTTCCCCAACATGTCATGGTACAAAAATTTGTGCCAGATGATAGCCTTCCTTTTTCTCTGAATTGGTGCTCAGAAAGGTGGCATTCTGCAATCTGTTACTGGATTTTTATGGAAAGGAACTGAGAGCTTGGCAGAGAGTCTGGGAAATGGACATTCTAGAATTCCTCTTTTCCTGACTGTTAAGGCTTCATATGTAACAATGGTGACGGGAGGCCCCATGTCACTAAGTAGCTCGGCACTAAATTTAAAACCTGCATACTCTGTTACCAGAGCTGTTCCTCTTCTAGGAATCTAGTTTGCAAAACACACACACACACACACACACACACACACACACACACACACACTCACACACTCACACACACACACACACACACACACACACACTCCACACGTGGAAGGATATGTGTTCGAAGTCCTTTCTTCATTGCAGCACTATTTTTAATAATGAAAAATAGGGACTTCCTTGGCGGTCCAGTGGTTAAGACTTTGTCTTCCAACGCAGGGGGTGCAGGGGTCGATCCCTGGTCGGGGAGCTAAGATCCCACACACCTGGCTGCCAAAAAAAAAAAAAAACTGAAACATAAAACAGAAGCAATATTGTAACAAATTCAGTAAAGACTTTAAAAGTGGTCCACATCAAAAAAAATCTTAACAAAGAAATAATGAAAAACGGAAGGCAACCTCAAAGACGATCAATAAAGGAACAGTGCTACATTGCATATTAAGAAATATTGTTCAGCCCTTACAAAGATCAGAGCACACCTGTCTGCACTACCTTGAACAATGTTTGTTGATTAAGGGATGGGCCATAGACTGAATGATTTATAGTATGGAATACTATTAGGCATCTGTATATGCAGATGTGGAAATACCATTGAGAGAAAAAAAGCAAGTTACAGAATGATAAATACAACATGATACCATTTCTGGAAAATAACACTAATACACAGAACACTGCTATATGTTTCTTATGAGTATGTAGATATGCATGCAAAAGTATAGAAAATCTGGAAGATTACAGACTGATTTTACAACATTGGTTACCTCTGAGGATAAGGCCGTGGTAAAGGGGAATTTAGCTTAATCTGTGTACTGTTTAAATTTTTCACAAGGTAAATGTATTTGTGTATTACTTGAGGAATTGGAAAGTAATCCTTTAAGCACTTAATCCTTTATTAGGACCCAATGGAGTTATCCCCACGTGACATACATTGCTTTATTATCATTTTGCTGATTAGGACATCAGACACAATTCCTTGATCTGCCATGAGTTCAGTGATCTCTGGTTCACAAGTCCTGCTGCCCTTAACAGTCACCTGGGGAGCTTTTAAAATGGGGATGTCCAGGCGTCACCCTAGGTGCATGGAATCAGAATCCCTGCAGGGTGGGCCTCCACATCTGTGGTTTTCAAAAGTTCCTGGGTGCTCGTGATGCCGGCAAGCAGGAGCCCCGACTTGTGTTACTGGGGAAGCTGCATCCTCCTCCAGCTCACAGCCCACAGCCCGCTGGGGAGGGGAATAAACTCAGGTCAGGTGTCCCCCTGCTTTGCCATTAAATAACCCCATCGCCTCCGGCTACTTCTTTCATCTCGAGCAGGCTCTATTTCCCTTTGTAAAAGGATTAACTTGTTAGGTTGTCATGAGGATCGAAGGAGACATGAAGTACTTTAAAAGTGGTGAGGGTGTGTGGGGGGAAACAGATCCTCTAACACACAAGCGCTGAGTATAAATTAGCACAGCCACTTGGGAGTTTAATTTGACAATTCTTCTTAAATTTAAGATTCGTATTTTTAACGACCTGATCACCTCTCTATTCAATTTGTATTTAATCAGATAGTGCCTGCGTGTAGTAAAAGACATACAAGAGTATGTATTGCATTATTCCTAATAATGGAGAAAATAGGATGCCTAACAGTTAAATGTGTGCTGCATATACTTATGAAATTGATTTATTAAATTGATTTTATAAAAAAAAAAAAGTGTGAAAACACTTGCAATATGTGTTCTCCCAGAAAGCTTTCTCTTCATCCCTTGAGGTCAGTTCTCCTCAGAGGACACTTCTGATTTCAGGGCAGAAGCCGAGGTGGGAGATGGAATTGGATAAACGGACAGTTACTTTATAGCCAAGGTTGCTCAGACACACGTGTTGAGTAAAACAAACCATGACCGAATTAGAGAACTTTTGAGTCATAGCTGACATTTCGAGGGCATAATAAGTGAGAGGCACATATTTCTCTTTGATCCTCAGAAAACCCTATGACAGAGATATTATTATAAACTTCATTTTGTAGATGAGGAAACTGAGACTTAGAGAAGTTAAGTAACTTCCCCCAGGGTCACACGCTGGGAAACGGCAGTCAGGATTCCAAGTCTGGACTGTCTGGCCCTCAATCCTCAGCCCTTAACCTTTGCTGTATCACCTTCTAATCCCTCTGATACAGTGAGTTTTACACCCCTACATCCTGATGGATGGTCACACAGCTGTTCGAGACTTTGCCATGCTCTGGGAATTTGGTAATAAATAAGAAAACCTTGAAAACTATGTGTACCATTTGATCCACCCATTCTACTCCTAGGAATTTATCTTAAGGAAAAACAAATTGAACAAATGTCCAGATATCTAATTACGTGGAAGGAACCCAGTCAGTTGGGTATTGATGAAATAGATTTTGGTATATCCATCCAATGGAACATTGTGCAGAGGTAAAAGCTGGTTATGTTGATGTACAGATATTAGCATGGAAATTCTAAATGAATAAAATCCTTTACTAAAATTCCACGTTAAAGTATTCATGCAAAGCACATACCTACACGCGGAGCTTAATATATATTAATAGAAAAAAACCTAGAAGGAAATAGACCAAATGTTAATCTTGATTTCTCTCTTGATAGAGGATTATGGGTGATTTCAATTGCATTCTCTTAGCTTATCTATATCTTTAAATAAATAGTAAAATAGGAATAAATGCTATTACATTTTTTAACTTAAAAGTCTTTTTAATTTTGGCAAAAAAGCACATTACCATCTTAACCAGTTCTAAGCATACAGTTCAGTAGCCTTAAATATATTCACATTGTTGTGTAAATGTTATTACTTTAGGAATGAGAAACGAAGATGGGTTTTCTTCTTTAAAATGCCACGCTCACTATATTAAAATCGAAAATAACACAACCATACTAGGTGCTTTAAAAAGGCAATGTGACATCCACAGATGTTTTCCCCGCCTGCGGGTATCTCTGCAAAAGGATGTCCATCTTCCTAAGGTAAAGAAATAGGTTGGGTGGACACTGGGCTCCCTGTTGACTCTTTTAGACAGAGACCCACATCTGGGACTGTGTCAGCCAATTTAATCTTTCACAATAGGCAGGTGACAGGCAAAGGAAGAACTCTCCCCCCACCACCCTGCCCCCAGGGATGCTCCAGTCTTATTGTAAAAGAACTGCCTATTCAGTCAGTCTCAGCCGCTGCAAGAACCTGCCGTCTCCCTGACAGATGCCTTCTGTTTTCCAGATAATTGCTTATCAGCCCTATGGGAAGTCCGTGGATTGGTGGGCATTCGGAGTCCTGCTGTATGAGATGTTGGCTGGGCAGGTAATTGAATTTTAAGTGATTTGTAAGGAAAGTCCTCCCCCATCCCCACCCTCATGGTTTCTTTAGGAGAAAGTATCAGCTTGATACCAGCTCACAGATCTGAACCTCTGTGACTTCCGTGACCTTGGGGTTATTACCCTAGTCTGTTCACCAGTTTTCCTTATCTTCTCCCTGGAAGTGTGGTCTCGCTGTGGACCCCAGGGAGCAGCGCTTGTTGTTTTGGGGCAGTTGGGGGAGGTTCAGGCAGGACTCCTTCTCCCACCCTATCCTCTGTCCCACAGGCACCCTTTGAAGGGGAGGATGAAGATGAACTCTTCCAGTCTATCATGGAACACAATGTGGCTTATCCAAAGTCCATGTCCAAGGAAGCTGTGGCCATCTGCAAAGGGGTGAGTGAGCCCCTTAGAGCTTGCGGCCGGGACCACCACCTACAGGGGTGCTGGTTGTGCCCTGCACAAGGATGCTTTGCCCAGGGTGGGGGAGGGGCAGTGGAGGCTGAACTCCACCCCTCACCCACTTGCCAGCCTGTGAGCCTGGTACAGAGCTGCTACCGCCCAGAGGAAAGGGAGCTTTTTTCTAATTTGCACAGAAGCACCGTGGAGGACTGCCTGCAATAGCATCTTGCTGCTGGCTGGGCTCCAGGCTCTAAGCCAGCACAGGGGAATGCTAATGGAGTGAATGAGGTAGGAAGCACAGAGACTTTGCCAAAGAGCTAGAACCCAGGGGAAGGTACACAAGAGCTCTGTGGCACGAATCTGTCAGCTTCACTCTGCGCTGGGGCCTACGTGGTTAGTTAATACTAGGAGCGTGTGACTTTTGTCCTAAGAAAATATCAACCAGTATTGAGTTTAAGGAATTCTCTAGATAAGTTGACCCAAACTGAGTGTCCCCAAACCCGTACTCCCTCGCCAACCCACAGATGGCTGAAAAATTCGCACATTTATACATTGTGATGTATGCAGATTGCACCTGTGAACAAAGCGGGACACATGTTTTGGGGTAAGGATTGCTTGTTAGGCATCTTGCGTGCGGCCAGGATGTGCTCACAGTGACCTGGGTGAGTCCCTGGAGACTAGTGGTCCTCCCCGTTGGTACCATCAGGATGACCTGAAGTGCTTTTTCAGAAAGCGCAGACCTCAGCCTCACCCCAGAGAGTAAGTCTGGGCATCTGTATTGTAAAAAAAAGGTCGCTTGAAAACCACTGCCTTTAAGTATCTTAACCAAATGTGGTAACTTTTCAACTGATGAAAGTACGAAAGCAACACTGAGAGATCCCCAGAGAACAGGGCCCAGGGATGCTGCCTTTATAAAGTTTTCCCTCCCACCAGTCAGCAGTACCAGGGCATTCTCAGCGTTAGAGCATGCCCACCTGTGTGTCTGGATAAACCAGGGCTGCCAGTCCTAGATTCTTGGAGTGTTTGCAGATTTCCCATTGCCCAACCCAGCCCTGCCCTTCCTCACCCATCAGACACCATGTGAGCTGGCTTGGGTGAAGGAAAGCTGAAGACTCAGGTGGTTTATAACAGCTGGGCCAGCCCCTCCATCTAGAAGCACCTTGCCATGCTGCCTAAATTCCCACTCTCAGTGAGTCACCTAAGATTTGTGTGTCAGCTGCATAGGTTAGGATGCAAATATCCCTGGGGAAAACATATGTGAATTCGTCTCAGTCCCTAACATCTTAAAATTTATAGGTTGGGGCTTCCCTGGTGGCACAGTGGTTGAGAATCTGCCTGCCAATGCAGGGGACATGGGTTCGAGCCCTGGTCTGGGGAGATCCCACATGCCGCGGAGCAAGTAGGCCTGTGAGCCACAACTACTGAGCCTGCGCGTCTGGAGCCTGTGCTCCGCAACAAGAGAGGCCGCGATAGTGAGAGGCCCCGCGCACCGTGATGAAGAGTGGCCCCCGCTCGCCGCAACTAGAGAAAGCCCGCACACAGAAACGAAGACCCAACACAGCAAAAGTTAATTAATTAATTAATAAACTCCTACCCCCAACATCTTCTTTAAAAAAAAAAAAATTTATAGGTTGAAAATAGTTTTTGAGGCTATGAGGCGGGGAGAGGGAAGACGAGGAACAGAGCATGGAGAGGTTCATTAGGAGCTTAAGCGAGGCCCCTTGGCACCAAGAGAGAGCATGGAACAAGGCCAGGGCAAACCCCTGTAGACATTATATGGGGTTGGGGAGAGGGAGGAGGTCATACATGAGCTCTCAGTTTGTTTAATAATTGCCAACATTTGGGCTAACCTGGTGGCGCAGTGGTTGAGAGTCCACCTGCCGATGCAGGGGACGCGGGTTCGTGCCCCGGTCCGGGAAGATCCCCCATGCCGCGGAGCGGCTGGACCCGTGAGCCATGGCCGCTGAGCCTGCGCATCCGGAGCCTGTGCTCCGCGACGGGCGAGGCCACGACAGTGAGAGGCCCGCGTACCGCAAAAATTGCCAACATTTAAAGATCGGGGAATTTCCCATAAATATTCAGCTGTCCAGTTTCTCTTGAAAAATCTGATCTGTCCATGCTGGTCCGTCATTCCTGTAAGGCATCAGTCAGCTGAATTGGAAGCCACTGTCTCTTTAGGTAGAATGTGCCCTCTCCTATCCTGATTTTTCTGGGCAAAAATCCCCATGTGAGCACAAATCCCAGCATTATTAGCCCTATGACAACCGGGAAGTTGTTCAACTCCACCTACAGATTGAGGACACACCTATGGGACTGCACGTAAGGTTCTCTGATGACTAGATGGGTTAATACGAGGAAATCACGTAGAAGAGAGTCTGGCACTCTGCTCTGAAACCCTTGGGTTATTACTCCTACTATTACTAATGCTGGCACTGCTGTGTTACATGCTAGCCTCCTCTTGTGTTCTGAGCTTGCATCTTCCGAGACGGGGATTTTTTAAGTGGCAGATTTTGGAGCTCAAGACCATTTGCAAATTTCAACCCTTTCACTTCCTAGGTGCGTGGTCTTGAGCACGTTACTTTGCATCTGTGGGCTTCTGTTTATCTCCGAAAATGGAATATTAATCCTTAATTAAACAGAGTTTTGGAGAGTGTTAAATGAGGTAACAGAAGAACTAAGCGTTTTGCATGGTGTTGGCACAGTAGTAGGTGCTCGATACATGTTCAAGACCTTCCCCTTCACAGCTCTGCCTGCTTAGACAGCTGGGGTTCTAAGTGGGTCATGGAGGAGAGGGTTTTCCAGGTCAGCTGCATTCAGCTTCAGCTCCAATTAGCAGTTTCCCTGGTAGAGCAGATTTCTATTAATTTCAGACCCATAACCTTCAGGATTAACGAGGGTGACTTTCTTGCTATTGTGTTTGCGGACCTTTCTGAGTTGTGTGGGCTGAGGCCTGTGTAGGCTTTTTCTTCAAGGTTGATGCTCCAGAGAAGGGGTGATGCTCCAGTGAACAGCCAAATGCTTCCTCCTGAACCGCGGGCCCCAGGGGGTCTGTCTGGGAGGTGATCAGAGATCGGAAGAGTGATTAAGTCCAGCTGTCTGCGTGGTTGGCTTTGGGCACAGGAGTTCAGCGTGCAGGAGCTGAGCAGAGCTGGGCATTAGTGCTGGGTGTTTTCTGCAGTGGTTTTGCTCCGCCTGGCATTCTCCTGCCTACATGGAAAGTGAGCTAGGTTTTTGAAAACAGTGCCATTCCAATTGAAAATGTCCTATTTTCCATCCCATTAAAGACCCTATTTTCCACCGTAAAAAAAAAATTAGCATACGTTTGCTCAGATCACCATTCCCACTTTGTACAAACTTAAAGCTGACAGATGCCCCAACTGGCCACACGTTAGGGTGAAAACAAGAAGAAACTGTAAGATGGAGCTTCAAGACTCTGGGTCAGGCTGATCTGTTCAAAGCATAGTTCTGCTCATTAGCTGTGTAATCTTGAGTAGGTGACTACTTTTCAGGACCTGGTTTTTTTATGTGGAAAATGAGGATAATAGTTTCTGAGGCCTGAAAATGTTGTTGTGGAGATGAAAGAGTGATATGTTACAGCTGAGAAGCCTTTGGCACAGAGCCTGGGCACACAGGGAGTGCTCAGGACACGGAAGCCGTTATCGATAGGGTTACTGGCTGTGCTAACCAAGACCTCGTAACCCTTTCTTCCCTGCCATCCTAATCCTATACAAAGGTCAAGGCTTGGCCCAATTTCCTTGCCCTACATAAACTTTTCCTGACCAAGCCAGGCCACAGATATCCCTGGGGAACCACATGTAATCTATTTCTCTAAAAACTCAAGGTTTAGAGGTCAGCACAGGTGAGATCCAGTCCCAGCTCTGCCATCTGCTATCTCTGTGTCAGTTGCCTTGTCACTCAAATGGTAAAAAGTAATACACCCAACTCATTGGGTTATTGTGAGAATCAGGTAAGACCAGGCATATAATATATAAATAAAGAAGTAGCTTAGAACATAAGTGCCCAGTTATTTTTCCCCTGGAAGGTAAAGCATATAGGGAAAGTATGTGCTTGTGTGTGTGTGTGTGTGTGTGTGTGTGTGTGTAGGAGGGTAGCTTCTGATGACAAATTATCTGTAGCAAGAATCAGCCTGAGCTAATTGTCCAACAGAGTAGGTGTGAATTGCTGGATTCATCCCTTCCCCCATAATCCTGAAGCCCTGGGCAAAAATCTAAGGAATCTACCGCCTTGGGCTACTTGGGGTCAGGTCAGCTCCTGGAAGCTTCTTGGTCTTGTATGTTCCAATTGTTTTGTTTCTTCTTTTGATGGCCTCTTGCCGATCTTTTTTTTTTTTTTTTTAATTAATCATCAACTCCTCCGTCTTTACTCTCTGTGCATTTGCTGAAGACTTGAGATCAGAGATATTTTCATGCTGCTTTGGGTTCATTTACAAGAGGAAGCCTGTCTGGTTTCATCTTGGAGCAGCTATTCATCTTGTTATTTAGCACTGGCTCAGAGACCCAAAGATGGAGGGTTTTGATAATTAAGTAATTTAAATGGGACACCAAAGAAACCTCAGCGGAGTTTACTGTAATGTGTGATACAAGAGAAATGAGCTGGGCTAGGTTTTGACTATTTAATGAGCTTTTGGAAAGTAATTACTTGAAACTTGGGTCCATTTGACTAATATTTTTTCTTCTGACTTGTCATTTTCACAAGTGCTTTACTGAGAAATGCAAATATTATCTGAATGAACGTGCCCTTTGCTTTGGTCAAACTCCAGTTTCCTAGTGGTGGCAGGAGGGGAATTTGAAGATATTGAAACTGTTCTCATTAAATGCATCAGTAACTGCGTAAACCTCATTCATAAATCAAAATGAATCATGTGACATTTCTAACTTGAGGTTCAGGGCCACATTCAGGCTGAGGTTTGATTAACCATAAGGGATCTTGTTCTGGGACGGGGGGGCAGCAGGCACTACTGTCGGGCCCTCTTATTAGAAAGACCTGGCTAGGAAATTACTGCTGGGATGAAAAGCAAAAAATAAAGATTAGTTGGGACTCTTCCTCAAGCTGTCTTCCCTAATTCATAGGAGTGATCATTTCTGAGAGTCCCACGTTTCCTGTCCTGAAATTCATTAAATTCCACGTTTCTCTTTCTCTTGAAGCTGATGACCAAACACCCGGGCAAACGCCTGGGTTGTGGACCTGAAGGTGAACGTGACATTAAAGAGCATGCATTTTTCCGGTATATTGACTGGGAGAAACTTGAACGCAAAGAGATTCAACCCCCGTATAAGCCGAAAGCCGTAAGTAAACCGTTCTCTCTGGTTGTTGGGTCCACATCATAACACTCTCTTTCTCTCTCCAATGCGTGTGCCCTTGGTGTCCTCCGAGGGGTGGACCTCGATCTAGGAGCGCTCACATTTATACTCAAAGGCAGTGGGTACAAAAATGGAGTTTTCCATCCACACGGCCTCTATGAATGTGGGAAAGACCATGGACATCGAGTTTTTGTTTTATCGATTCAATTATTGTAACCGTCTGAGCCGGGGAATGGTTCTTGGGTGAGCAGAGTTCAGATCCATTCTTGGACAGTGATAATCTAATTTTGCCCTCGTTCTTTCCTTGGTTCGACTGTGTCATTTTCTCTTCATACTGACGTTGAAAAGGTCATGCTGTTTATCTCAACAGTATTTAAGTTTAATTCTGAAATATACACTCCATCTGAGTCAGTAAAGAAGACAGAACCACCAGCCAGCTCCCACCCAAGGCGAACCAGAATGAGTGACGTGCTGGTAGCCCTCCTGGAGGCTCTGGGCGTAGATATAGCTCTCAGAGAACCGTTACTAGAATAGTAAAGGTCTCACATTTCCTGCAGTTGTGTGCACACGGTAGTGCTTCTATCCCCAAAGACTCAGCAGGGGGGAGGAGTTTGCCCCTGAATTAATCGGAACCGTGGTTCTACTGGGAGGATATTTCTTCGTTAGATTAAGTACAGCGGAGACCTGGTGACTTTATTATGAGTTGTAAAACTACCGACTGAGGCTGAAAAGGGAGCACAAACATTGTCACCGAAACCTGAAATTGTGAGGGTCTCAGATGTTAAGATGAAGAAAATGACAGTGATAACGGTGCTTGTTTTGATATCATTATTATGAATTTCTTGGCCACTTATCTGGCCATATTAAACACTTCACACATAGCATCTGATTAAATCCTCACAACAACCTATTAAGCAAGTGCTTCCATGTAATGGAAGAGGAAATGGAAGCACAGAGGGGTTAAGCGCTCTGTCCAAGGTCACTCAGCCAGCGTGTGAGGAAGCGAGGATTCAGAGTCTGACTCCGTTAGAGGTGTACCAGGATGCCCGGGGCAAAGGACATGTAGTTCTGCTTCTGTCATCTCGCCAGTCCTGCACATCCCAAATGCTTAGGATCACAGCATCCCTGATGAATTCTGTTTCTCTCTGGACACTTCCTGGTGTGCAGATACAGGGTCCTTCTAGAGGCAGCCAGTTCCACACTGTGGTCCTTCTATTGTTGCCAACATATATACTGATATCAAATCAGCCTCCCCAGAATTGCCACCACTGGGTCCTGTTCTATCAACCAGAGCCTCTTTCTCTGTAGCACATCCTTATACTCCTGAATCCTGCGCTTTTCAGGCTAAACACGCCCCTCCTCCACTTGCAAGCATGTCCCGTGTGACATCACCTCCGGGTGCCTGATGTCCTCCAGGTAATCAACATCCATCTTAAAATACAGACACAGGATTGAGCACAATATTCCTAATAGTGTCTGACCCTCAGTGAATGCAGTGGGTCCAACGAACCATCTCTTGATTATTCTGCATCTGGACAACTTGGACGAGTCGTTTCCCCTCTCTGCTCTTCTGCTGCATCGTCTATAGTACAGCGATGATAACAGTTTCTCCATCAGAGGAGGCTCATAATGTATAAAGCACTCAGCACGTGCCCGGGACGCAGGAGGCCCTCTGGGATAGTTGATGATTTTTGTTAGCGGCGTGTCACACGTTGGTCATTGTGTTGGGTGCAGAGTCTTTGAGGGGCAGAACAGTGTTGAGTCCTGCGCTGCTAGTCCCTAAGATAATGTCCATGTGTACACATGGGGTTCATGTGTACACCTGCATGTCATAGGCAGTATCATCACTTTTGTTATATAAAAAACAATCAAAAAGCGATCTGGGGGCTTCCCTGGTGGCGCAGTGGTTGAGAGTCCGCCTGCCGATGCAGGGGACACGGGTTCTTGCCCCGGTCTGGGAAGATCCCACATGCCACGGAGCGGCTGGGCCCGTGAGCCATGGCCGCTGAGCCTGCGCATCCGGAGCCTGTGCTCCGCAACGGGAGAGGCCACAGCAGTGAGAGGCCCGCGTACCGCAAAAAAAAAAAAAAAAGGAATCTGGAAGAGAAGAGTGGATTCTCCATTCAGGAAACTGGGAACCTGAAGGTGGCACACACAGACCACTGGGGTTTTGTGGGGCTCTTCATGAGGTCTCAAAATGTGGACCAATCTCTCTTCACTTGGCCAGAGGAAAGATGCAAATGCCCCCATCCCCACCGGCATTGAGCCACTGACATTTGAGGTTCATTCTTTACGTGTAGAGCAGTGGTTTTTCAAAGTGTGGTCCCCAGACCAGCAGTATCACCTAGGAACTTTAGGAGTGAAATTCTCAGGCCCTGCCCCAGACCTCCTGAATCAGAAACCCTGGCGGGGGTGGGGCTCTCTAGGTGAATCTGATAAACACTCCAGGCTGGGAATCACTGCTGTGGAGTTCATGGTCAAAAGCTCAGGCAGGGAAGCTAGACAGAGGCCAAAGGAATGTGGCAAGGAGAGAAATCTCTTTAAGAGGAAGATACTGGTTCTCACACAGTCTGAGTGAGGGGTGGTACCTTCCAGGAACAGGTAGCTACAGAGGCCAGGCAGGTAATGTCAGTGAGGGAGGTGGGAGTAGTGGGGAAAGGGGCAGACGGGGAGCTGGTGGCTCTCAAGGGCTCGGTGGGTGTTCATCTCCAGCGGACCAGTTGGAGGATCCTGTGACTCATGACTAATTATTGTATTCTTTTTATATTATCCATGATAATAACAGCTGCCTTCTCCTGAGAACCTTCTACGAGCTGGGCACCGGGCTAGCCAGACTGGTCCTGTGGGCATGCAGGCTCTGCATTGCTCCATCCTCATTGGGATTTTCATATGAAATCTCACTATTTTTATAAATATGTCAGCAACAAGTTTTAAAAATTAAACACAAATCAGGTCAAATAAAACACACCCATGAACCGTATGTGGCTGTCAGTTTATAACCTCTAGAATAGTGATCACTCAAAGTCAGGTTGAAGTTTAGCCAGTTAGTACTGGTTACTGACAACCAGAGCCCATTTTGACTGGTTAAATACTTAGAAATATTTAACCTGGCTCAAAGGAGGTGCTCAGGAAAAATTAGCTGTTCTTATCATTGATAATACAAAAAGATTACAATAGTTAGTGATGATCTACAGAATCCTTCAACTGTTCTATATTGGATATGGTTTCCAGCCAGCCAGTGTCTTGAAATGCCTCATGTGGGTTTAACAATGACTTTCAAAGTACAGTGACTGGACTGGGCTATAGACTTCAAGATGTTCTACAACCAGCTCTAAGGGGAAGAGGCACTGCCCTTGATTTTCTTAGGGTGAATTAGAAATAAACATAATAATGAATACACCACCCACTCATCTGATTCAATCTGGGCACACGCCTTTCACACAGCAGGTGCCAGCCTTAGAGCCCCTCCCCCCGCCCCCCCCCCCAGGGATTTCACATTTCCCCTTCCCCACACCTTCTGAAAGGCCCGCGGTGAGTGTGTGCAGAGTTCCATATGCCTCGTGGGATATTAAAAGGCATGCATATATCTGTCAGTGTTCCTGATTCATGCATGCTATTAGAGTGCAGCAAGAGAAAGAAAAAACATGGGGCAAAAACAGAGGATTATATTCAAACATCAGTGAAGGGTGCTATTATTGGAGGTTCATTAAAATAATTTTAAATGGATTTTTAAAGTCGTTCTCTTTTATTGTGGCAAGAGCTCTTCGCAGAGTAGCATTGGAAACTACTGAAACACATTAGCCTCATGTATTGTTCCGGGTACAAGAGTAATTTTTTTAACGTGCATCTGATCGTGTCACTCTCTTGCTTAAAGACCCCCGATGGCTCTCTGCCAGCCCCGGGATAATGTCTATTGTTCCGTAGCATATATGGCTTTATAGTCTCCCCAGGTCCAGTCTCTGCTGCCTCCCCAGACTCCTTACTTCAAGAACTGGCATTTCTGAGTGTCGTTCAGTTCCTCAAACATGCAGTGCCTTCCCTTCCCTTCCTGGCTTTCCCCACGTGGAGCCAGCTACCTGGAAACCCCAAAGCCTTCCCGTGCTCCCTGCACCCCCCATCCTCCTGGTGCCTCCCTCCTTCCTCCTCATCAGATCGGTAGACCATCACCCACGCAGGGAGGCTCTTGTCGATTCCTGAGTAGGGATCACCTGCTAGTGTCCCATCAACAAACTCATCACACTTTGTCGTAATTACTTGTTCAGTGTAAGGTCTGTCTTTTTGGCGAGACTAAAAGATCGCGACTGTCTTTTTCAGGGTTGGATCCCAGTGCTTAGCATAAGGTTGAGCACACGACATGTGCTTAATCATTTTTACTGAATAAATGAGTGATTAAATGAAAGGCTGTCAAATAGGATGCTGCAATGCACTGTGCTGAGGAACATACTGGATTCTTTAGGGATATATAGTAGAGTACAGGGTGTTTTTCTTATGTACAGCAGTGTGTCTCAAATAAATTGGTTGTTGTGTAAGCTACCCTATTTAAAAAGGGCTATAATTTGGGTGCTGAGTTGTATCTGTCATGGCATCGTTTGGTTGTGTGATGAAGGATCTGATGATGCAATGCATGAATGTTGGACTTTGGATGGAGGGGGCTGTGACTTCCGCAGTCTGTCGTTGCCCAGCCAATGCTACAGGTGCCGTGATGCAGCCTAGCGGAGCTTCTTAAACTTTAATGTGCATATGGAGTCTCTTGGGCATCTGATTAAACTGTGGATTCTGATTCCGCCAGTCTGGGGTAGGGCCTGAGATGCTGCGTTTCTAACATGATCCCAGGTGAGAGGATGCTGCTGGACCACGGTGTAGCAGGGGCTACCTCATGGTTCTGTGGGGTCCCACCAGCCAGTGAGTTGACTGGTGGATCCTGTTGTAGTCAGTGTGCAGTGTGGCATGGTGAGGGCTATGCTGAAGGGGTGTATATGTTTTAG